AAAGTAAGCAAGATCCTAGACCTTTGGAATGTATTCACCAAGAAAAGCCATCCCCAAGATCAGGTAATTATGTATTTTATCTGAGAAGTGCATTTAAGTTTTCTTGAATTGAGTTGTATGGTGAGTATGTCTTTGAAGATGTCGATGATCATCCCTTATCCCCCACCTTTTTGAAAAAAAGACAAATTGATCGTCATTTTCTTTTCAAAGAGTGGAGAGGAAGTTCGCTACCCATTCCCTTGATTTTATTGTAGTCATGTCTTGGTGTTACAGTTGTGTGTTTCTTGAACATGATCCACATTGAGGGGGTTGTCTCTGTTCAAAAAGAGGAATATGACCGTAATGCAGAATTGGGTTATGGACATGTTATCGTGTGTTGAAGTATATTGGTCTCAACCATTCTATGGCCTATTCTAAGTGATCAGGATTGGCTTCTATATTGCTATCTGAATGTATATTGTTCTCGTTACTGTGCTGTTTCTCTTGGATTTGTTTTTATTTTGCTGTAACTTCACTTTCAACATGCTGTTATTGATACAGGGGCGAGTGATGATATGGAAAGTAGGGAAGTGGATCAACGGAAAGGGCTCAGTAACCTCAATCAACTCAGAGTGTCTGGAATACATCCCTCCGTTTCAATGAGTGATTTAGTGAGCCAACTTGAGCAACGTGTATCAGAGCAGACGACACTTAAAGTCATCAACCTCGCCAGTGATGAACGACCAAGCTCGGAAATCCTGGAAGAGATCTCCCAATCCTTGCTTAGCGACACTCAAAATGTGTCATCATCAGATGAGAAATCTCTTATGTCAAGGGTTAATTCTCTATGCTGCCTCCTCCAAAAGGATCCTGCAACAGTTCAAGCGAGTGAGAACTGTGGTGATGTGTCGGATGAAAGAAGAGTTAATGAAATAAATTTCATTCCCACCGCACCGCTTGGAAGAAAAGATGAAGAAGATTCTTCTATGCCAGAGGATGAATCAGCTGATCTCTCTAGTTGCAAGCCGACTTCAACAATGTCAAGGAAGGACTCTGTTGGTGATCTGTTGCTGAATCTTCCTAGGATAGCATCACTGCCCCACTTTTTGTTCTTATGCGATGATTCTACAGGTAACCAGGCTAGATAGTCTTAGCTCAAGTCTACATCAGGTAACCATCGCAAAGGATGGCTGTAGTTCTCTTGTATATATTGAAAAGCTATGTTAGCAACAGTACTGTCCAGTTTAGGACTTGAAACTTTGATGCATCATTATAGAACTGTTCATGGATAGAATTAGACCGTTTTTGTGCGTTTGTACAAAACTTAGTGCTGTGGAAGTATTCCAATGCGTTCCTGCTTGTCGCTACTGCATTATTTTGCCAAGTATAAAGTTACAGTGAACATGATACTCAGATCTTGCCCAGTGAACGCAGGATGAAACATGAGAATTAGACCACACAGGACAAAATTTTAACGTGCACGAGAAAAAACCGAAATTCTGGAACGGTTTTGAGATGCCCTGTAGTTTATTCTAAAATGAAATCCAACGACCCACTAGGTTACAGAGACTGACATTGCATGTTGACCATAGGATGTCGAATCAAGATTATACTGTTACACAAGTGGAATCAGTCAACTTATTAGACCCAGTATGAACTAAATATTCATAGTCAATGTCAACCACGTTAGACATTTGAAATTTTTTGTATTCCTCCGGTATCTATATCGGAGTTTGACAAATTAGGGTTCTTTTCGTGTAAGGAAAACACTCCCTATCAAAAAAAAATTTCATATTCAGAATTTGAACCTGAAATCTATAGTTAAGGTTGAAGCAGACTCATCCACTGAATCATTAGAGGTTACTTTTCAAAGCAGAATGTATATATTGACAAGGTAGCAATACCTAGTCAGAATATTTTTAAACATCCAACCATTTATCAATTATCTAACCGAAAGAATATCCATGAGCACCGATGAGCTTAAAATAAATTAATCTTTAATTTTTGCAACTGAACTTATGCCTAATAGAGCAAAAGTTCGTTAAAAACTTAACTACTCTATCAGTCAAGTTTTGAATAGATTGCACACATTTATTGAAGAAAAATCGAGGTAACTTAACAAAAAACAAATACTACATATTTATGATTGCTCAAGGAAAATACTACAACCTAAAAAGGGACAAAAGGAGTAATTAAAGACATTCATGTATTAGAGTGTCAAAGGGAAATCATAGTGATATTATATTACATTGCTGTCACGTTTTTGTAGGAATATATTTTACTTGATCAAGCACGTACAAATTAATCAAATTAAATTCCATTATCATACTCATGTAGCAACTAGCTAGCTTAATTAATCTTAACATGCATGTATGTTATCTTCAAATTCGAACCAATTAGTTGTAGCAACACCCGCGATTTGAAAAAGTAAGCCCTGGTTTTCAAGATGAAAACAATTGGCCAGTGGATGGGGCTGGCCGTGGAGGTGGTGGAGGGGACTTTGAACTTCTTCCTAAACTATTTCCTTTGTTGGGAGCATCCCAATAATAGACAGCCAATTCATTATTATTAGCAAAATCATAAGTAGAGATTTGCTTGGAATTTGGTGATGGTTTAGGTGGTGGTGGAGATGAAATGGATGGCCTTTCAATTATTTTCTTGGTCATGAAGTTTTGTGTATTGATTGTATGATCATCATCATGACTTGCTAAAATTCTAGCTTCACTTCTTTGTTGGAAACAAAAGAATGTTGTCATGAGAATGAATGTACAAGTAGTGATTATTTGCATGTTTCTCAATATTAGTAATAACACACTACTATATTGAGTTAGTTATGGGTCAAGTACTAGAGCATAGTACAAAGGAGTATTTATAGATGTTGTTTTGAAGGGAGTAGGTATTGGTCAAAACTCAAAAGAGTAGGTTTAGGTTCACATTCATGAGGTTTCGAGTTTAAATCTAACAGATACAAGAAGTATTGAATGATTTCTTTAATCTCATCTCTCTGAATTATGATGAATAGAGGTCTCGAGTTTAAATCTAACAGATACAAAAAGTATTGAATGATTTCTTTAATCTCATCTATTTGAGTTATGATGAACAGATAACTTTAGTACTTATATAAGTAAAAGATAGCAAAGTATTTTGTAAAATTAATTGAGATATGCAAACAAGCTCAAAAGATTAGTGGAAAATAAATAAAGAGTAGGTGTGTAGTGTGAAATGATTTAAACTTCATTGAAACCATTTCTTAAATTAAAGCATTGACTTGGCCATGCTCAAAAAATTAAGATGTAAGGAGTCAAAGTCTTGTATTTTTCTTTACTAATTGTTCCGATCCTTGTCTCATTTGAATATTTATACATCTTTTTACTACTAGTTGTAATATAAATATCCACAATTTTCAACACGTACTCACCTAAATTATAAAGCAAACGGTATATATGTAATGTGATCACACAAATGAATGATGATATGTTTGAAGCCTACAATAATTGAGGACAAGTCATATCTAATTAAAGTTATATATTAAAGATAAAATAAAAAATTCCCATCTTTAATCTATTACTTCACTTTAATTTTGTTTTTAAGTGTTGAAACAAAACAAGAAAATGATTAAATTTGTTACATATAGATTAAAGTATTTTCGTAAAGCTAACTAAAGTTTATTTATAAATCGAATATCAAAAGTATCACTTTTCCTAAAGGTGCCCCATATGTTGTGTTTTGCTAAACCAAGTAGGGCCGAATGTGTTGTCTTTAAATTTTGTTTTTCACTGAATTGCCTGTCGAGCACATCCAATTTACTTAAATAATTGTACAAAAAACTTACTTCTATTGATTTGGCACAATAAATTGAAACGGATAATTTTATCAAATAACCCTAATATAATATCAGTCATCTAATCATTGGAAAAATAAATAGTGATATTTAATAGCAAGAATAAAATAAAAATAAAATAATAAATTATTTATTAGTTTTAGGGATAATGTAGAAGAACCCCCTCAATCTATGCCCAAAATTCCAGAGACACACTTATACTATATTAAGGTCTTATTACCCCTGAACTTATTTTATAAGTAATTTTCTACCCCTTTTCGGCCTATGTGACACTATCTTGTGGGGCCAACGCTGAATTTTTTCTTCTTCAATCTAGTGCCATGTAGGCCGAAAAGAGGTAGAAAATTACTTATAAAATAAGTTCCTTAGTATAGTATAAGTGTGTCTCTGAAATTTCGAGCATAGGTTGAGGGAATACTTGTACATTTTTCTTTAGTTTTATAAATTGAACAAATATTAATTGGACATTCCAAAATAATATAATAGACAAATAAAGATATTCATGTGTCACTCGATATTTTGAATTATTCTGACTTGTAAACTTCTATATACTCTCTAAATATGCAAAATTTACCTTCAAAAACTTGAATAATTTAGGTTCAAATTCACAACAAAACTTAGATAGTGTAATCTAATGTGTACTACTAATAATCTAAGTAGAATATATCAAAATTTAACGGAACTGATTTGATCTATACTGTTAAGTAGAATATTATAAATTTTATTAAAATTGATCAATAGGAGGATCGAAATAACACATTTTTAATTAGTACGTTAGTACTTAGGAGTAAGCTGGCTATTTCATTAAGCCGCAATGATAAATATGAGTAACGCTTTATATAAACGCATCTTAACTACTTTATTTAAGTCTTTAGTGACTCTAAATGCAATTGTCCTTAATCTGTTTGAAAAGAATGACAATTTTTTATAATTGAAAACAATTTAATTTTTAATAATCTCATTTATCCTTAATGAAAATGATTAGTAGTCATACTATAAATGATCCAAAGAATATCGTTTTAAACCACATATTCCAATAGTCTTTAATTTTTTTAAAATTTTGTATCAAATCAATTAGTGTTGTACACGTAAATTTGAGACAAATGGGGTATATGATTAAATTTACATGCGATCTCAAAAAGAAACAAATATAAATTCTGGTTTGATAACAATACTGCATTATGTTATTGATTAATAAGTTAAAAACCACATATCACTCCCTCAAATTCATTTACTACGTACATACGTTGTTAATACTCCATTACAATACGTCTATTACACATATTATTCTTGAGTTAATTAACTCATCAAGTGAACTAAAACCAGATTATACATGTAGCTACTTTAATAACATAAAATAAAAAATACTACACTTAGTAGTGAACATATATTATATTATAAAGTTCCGATGCTAGCTTAATAGGAAGCTTGAAGAGGCAAAGTAGAAGAAGAGGATGTGATAATGATCTGCCTTTGTTCATCTTGTGGCTTTGGTGGTGGTGGTGAGGCTACATAATCGTGCCTCCCACCAACAGGCGGCGCCGCGACGGTGTCGTCATGATGAGGAGTAGTAGTAATTGTTGTGAGTTGACCAATAATTGGATCAGTCTTGGGAGAAGGAGGTGGTAATACACTATCATGTCTTCCATTAACTATTTCTTGATGTGTTGGTGAAGATGATGTTGGTGGTGGAGGTGTCTTATATGGTGTCCTTCCATAATTACCACTTTCCAACTTCAACTCTATCAGCATCTCATCATCATGGTAATTTCCTGATCAACCAAGTAAGCAACATTATTTATTAACTTCTCAAAGTTAATTAGAGTAATAGAAAGGGAAAACGCAACGCTAAGGTTGTCTCTGCGTGACCTATAAGATAAAATGAAGCAAATCTCTAATGCTATATTAAGACAGGTTGTCTATGTCACACTCTTTGAAATGAGATTACGTGCGAATAATGGATGCTTGGTGCACTAAACTGAAAGATAGTATATGATTAGGTTGATTAATTTCCTCAAGTAGATGTAGATTAATTTTAGCTCAAATCATATATAAGTATGAGAAAAGAAGTGTTTCATAAAAAAAAAGTGGCATACTATCTTCTAATTACAACGTTATGAATTTATATTAATTACTTTCTCATCCATGCAGCCCACCATAACAATAATTTTCAAGTGGATTAACTAAAAAGAATAATTAATGAATACTAATGTTTAAGTAAATATAATAGAGTAGGTAACTAAAGAATAATTAAATTAAATTAAATTAGTAGTAGGTACCTAGTAAAGTTCTTGCTTGAGCTCCTACGAAAATGAGAAAGCTGATAATTATTATAAGAAAGAAAGCTCTGAAGAAGCTGATCATTTTAGCTACTGATGATTTTTCTTATTTGTTATGTTCCTTAAAGAAAACCTCTATTTCATGTCTCCATTTATAGACAAAAAAAACAAAAACAAAAACAAAAGTTAAAGTGCATTACCACCAAATTAACCTTCTTTATTCCAACTGATGTTAACTTTCAACTAAAATAATATATTAATTAGTACTAGTAAACAATAATTAGTCTATTACAGAATCTAATGCTGCAAATTAAAAACACACATTTTTTTTATTGTTCCTATTGCGTTGGTATAATTAATAGAATTTTGACAGTCAACGACTCAGTCTTGTTAGTTCATTAGTTACGATACTGTGTCAGTTATTGTTTATTTATATTACGTTATTAGTGTTTGTTTAGGAGTCTTCTTATTCTGTCTGTAATTCTATTTAATACTCTTTTAAGTTCATTAATTAATAAAGTATTTTCTTTCCGCATTTACTTTGTGTTTATATGGTATTAAGGCTCTATAAACTCTAACGAGAACGATCAATTTTTATTTTTTCTTTTGTGCGTCTCTCACACAGATCAACAACAATGACCAATCATAATGGTACCAACAATCCCATAGTTGTTAATGCTGACAACACAACTAGTAGCAATATCATCATTCAATTCAATCCTGCATTTCAATTAACCATTAAACTCAGTGGTGGTCACAACTTCACTACATGGAAAGCACAATTCTCCATGCTAATATATGGCTACAACCTATTAAGTTAGGATGAGTCGCTAAATAAGAATTTTTACTAAATATTGAGTAAGTGAGCACATGAATAAGTAAAAAAAGTTTAAATTGTATTGATTTGGTCTAAATATTCGATATCGATATGTTTTTTCTGACTTTTCTATACCTATTGTTTCTCTCTATTATTACCATACTTTTATATCTATTATTTCTCTCTATTACCATTTTTATCATAAAATCCTATCCTAAACAACTATAATTGGAATGAATAAAAACATTTGATCATTTTCCCAATATAAATACACATACACATCGAAAAACTCGTGTTGGTAAATAGTGATTAAAGGCATACATAAACCAATTTTATTACGGCAAGCTATATATAATATATTATATATTTGCATGACAAATACAAATCATATTGCAAAATTCAAAAGACAAATTTGAACCCACAAAAGTAAAAGTTGTCAGCATCATTAAAGTTGAAGTCATTATATTATAGTGGTGAGTCTGAGTCTTCCTCACTCGTTTTTTAGTACAACAAAACTGGCCGCCAATATGATAGAGTCAATTGCCTCGTGAAAAATTACTTCATTATTTTCTCTTAATGTTTATCAATTATTAAAACATATGTACAATGTTCACCTATTACACCTATATATATATATATATATATATGTTAGGTCTAATTCAATCGACCTACCTTCTCAATAGCAAATTAATTTGGTGAAGTTTATCAAAATTAGGAATTTATACATTGGATCTTCGAAAGAAAAAAAGTAGTGCGTTTCATCAAAAACTTGTTCGTAAATTTCACTTATACATATTTAATTTTGCAAATTATCTAGTCGTTCTGTCCTAAAATATTAAAGAATGACAAAATTCTCATATCGGTGGTTAATGAAATGGGTGGACTCCTCATAAGACTTGGGCAATTCTTCTCCTATGGAGCTAGCTTTTGAAGTGTGAGTTAGACCTAAAACCTAATTTCACATGGTATTAGAGCAGGGTTCATCTCACCCGATGTTGGGGCCCCCAAAATCAAATTACCAACGTACCAGATGCTAAGCATTAGGCGTGAGATGTGGTGTTAAAGAATGACAAGAGTCCCACATCGGTGGGTAATGAGAATAAGATGGGTGAATTCTTTACAAGGCTTAGTCAATCCTCATCTCTTCGAGCTAGCATTTGGGGTGTGAGTTAGACATGAGACCTAGACCTAATTTCAAATAAAACACTTTTTATGTTTCACTTTTAAAGTATCAAAAGACATGATCTCTGATCAGAAAAAAATTGCTATTTATAATACTTTTCATATAGTTTTCAAATATCAAAACTTAATTTGACTTTTGAAAAACAAAGACAAAGACAGCAGTATTTGAAAACAAAGTGAAATATAAAGCATATATAATCGGAGAGAGAAGGTTTCCAAAGTTATCTCTTATATAATTAACCAAAATTTTCCTTTTTGTCGCACTCATCAATTGAAATTTTAATTTATTTGGCGTTGTTGATTAAAATTATCTATTTTTCCTGATAGATTATGGCATCATATCAAAGATTATAATTAATGGAAACATGCCACGCTCCACAAATATAGTTGCTTAAAGTAGTACTCTCTCACTCGGTCCACTTTTATTTGTCATGATTTCTTTTTATAGTGTCAAATTATAAAAACTTCGATTAATATTTTATGATATGTTTTAATTTTTCATTATATTGATATGCAAAAAGATGCAATTTATAGGATTATTCGTACAATTTTTAAATATCTAATTTTTTTTAAAAAAATATTAAATTAATTTAATTTAATTTAAAATTAGTCAAATTAACTTTTGAAAAGAGCAACATGACAAATAAAAATGAATAGAGGAAGTATAAAGCAAAAGTAGTAGCACTAAATCTCAAAAAGAGATGGACCAACAAAACATCATATTACATGACATGCAAATATTAAGAAAAAGCTAAATATATTACTTATACTTTATTGTCAAATCAGATACTATGTTTAAAAAGGCTAAGATAGTAATCAATTAATTAATTTTTGTGGTCATTCGTGGGCAAATGAAATGTTTGCATAGCCATTAAGGAGTAAATAATTATAAACACTAGATACCAACTCCACTTAGCAACATGAATATGGAGCTTAATTAGGTAAAATAATTAATTTAATTACTTAGAAATGTATATTGGCTGTGGCTTTCATCTTCCCTACAAGGTAGGCCATTTGCTAAAGCTTATAGCACTTAGTTGAAAGAAATTCCAAATATGGAAGAAAAGCTGCATATTGAAATTAATTCCCATTTTGCGTTTGTGGTCCTTAATTCTGCACTATCCTATTCTATTTATTATGGCAGTGTATGCGGGTTTCATTCAGAATTTCTTCGTTGAAAAATTACGTAATGATAAAAATCTTGGTTAAATTAGGACCTAGCTAGTGATTAATAACAAAGTATTAAAAGCGTGTTTGGTAAGAAGGAAATATTTTTAATGTTTCAATAAGTAAAAAACATATTATTCTAACAATATTAAAATGTAATATATAGTAATACACTAGGCTAAAATAAGGTGGGAGTGTGAGTGAAGTTCTAACTTAATTTATTGTTCCCCATAATATTTTGATCAAACTCAAACATCAAAAAATTGAAAAAGATATTAAAAATAATACTTTTTCATAAATTCCCTTAAGAGAGATAATACATGTATTAGTACTATTAGAATTAATTATGAGTGAATCTTGTGCAGGTATTAATTATGCAATGATTAATTATTCATATATTAGTTATTGCATTATTTATCCTGTATAAAATAATATATAAATTTTCTTATAACTTATACATATACTAAAAATATGAGTTTCTAAATTATCAACCAAAAGTCGTATTAATCGTATATACGAACAATTTATTTCTTATAATCTACCTACGCAACTTATAAATTATTTGATAATTAATACATATTATTCTAGAAATTAATTTCGACAAAAGTTATTCCACTACTAAGTTGACTTTGAAAGTTTGACAAATTATCCCCTAAATTTTGATAAAAGAAAGAAGAAGAGATAGCCAAGTTTGGGCTTTTATTGGACTTTATTTCAGTTTCGATGTTAATGGGCTTACAGTACTGTTGGGCTAATAAAAGCCCAATAACACCGTCATCCTTTTTGGTCGGTATTGGGCTAATAAAAGCCCAATAACACCGTTATCCTTTTTGGTCGGTGATGGGATCTCTTCAGACAGCTAATATGTTGCGTTGGATCAATATTTTATGTAAACAAATTGATATAAGATTGTAATTGTGGTGTTTTATTTACATGATTACATCTAATACATAACAAGACACAAATTACTGAAATTAAAATATTATCATGATAGTACATACATACTATTATTTAAAAGAAAAATCAAAGTCGTGATGATTTGCCTTGTTGTTAGAGGAAAGTACATAATATAGCAATATTTTTTTTGGAAATTCTATATAAGAGCTATAAGGGTAAAAGATTAATTTTGTTGTTTATTGAATATTATATATAAGTTTTTTAGATATTCATGTCAGGTGTGTGCGAAAGATAGCTGAAAAGAAAAGTAATGTATTTAGTTGTTCGACCCTTGTAATTAATAACACGTGATCTTTTAATAAAATCGTACGTAACCTAAAACCATGCTAAAATATCTTTAGTTATGTTTTTTAACTAAACAATTTACATGATCAAATGTTGGTGAGATGTGAACATAATGAATATAATGCAAACTTCATGAACTTTTATTAGGTTTAATTGAATAGTTTTTTTTATGACCTAAAAATCAATCTAGATACGTTAACTATTTAAGATCAAATATAGCTTTAGAAACTTTATGAATAAAATGTATTTGATTAACAAGTCTCGAAAAAACATAATACGATATTATAATTCCTAATAAATGTAAAATGAATTGAACAAAAGTTACCTTAACAAGACTTTATTAACAAGTTGAATTAGTATAGTTTTGTGCCTTAATTAAGTAATGTGAGAGACTTGAGTTTTCTAACCAAAAGGTTCGTACACATGACAGTTATTCCAGTTAGCAACTTTTCTTTTTTCTTCTTTCGTCTTTTTTTTTTCTTCAAAAAAAAAAACACAAACTTTAGTCTTTTTACATATATATATATTTTAAATAAAACTAAGCTAAAATTTAAAAAAATAAATAAAAAAAAATCAGCCCTAACATATAGTATAACTTCTTTCTTTGCCCATTTTGTTGTGTAATACGTAACTTGATTGACAAAATATTATTTTTTGTGTTGTTGGTTTTAAGTAAGCCCTAATCTAATCTCTTGTTATTTTTAAG